ATTAATGAAACCAGGTTAATGAAACCACATAAATGAAACCTGATTAATGAAACCACATTAATGAAACCTGATTAATGAAACCACATTAATGAATCTGGATTAATGAAACCGGATTAATGAAACCTGATTAATGAAACCAGATTAATGAAACCTGATTAATGAAACCAGGTTAATGAAACCACATAAATGAAACCTGATTAATGAAACCACATTAATGAAACCTGATTAATGAAACCACATTAATGAATCTGGATTAATGAAACCACATTAATGAAACAGGATTAATGAAACCAGATTAATGAAACCTGATTAATGAAACCAGGTTAATGAAACCACATAAATGAAACCTGATTAATGAAACCAGATTAATGAATCTGGATTAATGAAACCGGATTAATGAAACCTGATTAATGAAACCACATTAATGAAACAGGATTAATGAAACCAGATTAATGAAACCTGATTAATGAAACTGGGTCAGAAGGTTCTGGATGATGAATCTCTTCAGGTCTTACCACAGTTACTCTCTCCGTCACCGAGGTACCGACGGATCAGGTTCTCCGTCCAGAACGGGTCACAGGCGCACTGCTTGGTGATTGGATCACACTGGCCCCGCCCTGAGCAGCTCAGCTGACACACTGGAAACAAACAAACAAATAAACAAACAAACAAACAAACATCCTGCAGCTGGACTTACTCTGTCTGGTTCTGGTGTCTCACTCCCAGCGCTGTAAAAACCCACAGCACCTGAATGCAGCACCAAGATGTTTTTGTTTGTATTTGTTACAGATCAAAGGATTTTATTTACCTGAACTGTTTGTTTGTTTGTTTGTTTGTTTGTTTGTTTGTTTCACTTCAGTAAAGTACCAGAGTTAAAGAGACCGGGTCGAACCGGACCCCTGAGGGCCCACTCACCCACAGCGTCCACTCTCAGAACCCTGAAGAGCAGGAAGTCGCTCTTTCCTCGGAGCAGCTGCTTCCTCAGCAGAACCACCAGGCTGGAGGCAGGGACCGGTCCAGACGGGCCCAGAACCGAGAACCTCAGAACCGAGCTGCAGGAAGGAACAAAATATAAAAGCTTTCAGAACCAGTAACTGGGTCGGTGCGGGTCAGCTGAGTCCAGCAGGTCTCTGGTACCTGAGTTGAGTCCGGTCCTGCAGGGCTCGGACCTGGATGTCCCGGTCCAGGACGTGGATCAGGGCGGCGAGCTGCCGGACCATCGTGTCCCTCTGAGACACGCTGACCTGAGACACCGACACCAGCAGCTCCAGCTCCACCTGCTCCCCCGACCCGGGTTCTACAGACACACAGACCTGTGAGGACCAGCAGCACCTTCAGACCCAAACAGAACCAGAACCGTCGGCCCACCTGGTCGGACCTCCACGGTGGCTGTGGCTGTGCTGGAGCGGGCCTGAGCATCGGTCACCTTCAGCTGGAACAGGTAGGTCCCCTGGACCAGATCCGTCAGGTACAGGGAGGCCTGGGTCTCTGAGCCGAACAGAACCACCTGCAGGAGAACCAGAACCAGAACCAGAACCAGATGATCCAACATGTTTACAGAAAGGAGAGAAGAGATGTGAATAAACCTCTGAGTGGTTCTGACCCCAGCTGCAGGACTCTGGCTGTCCCTGGTCCAATGGTACTGGACCTGGTTCTGGTCTCCGTGGGTCACAGAACCTCGGAGGACCAGAGAGTTGTTGGGCAGCGTGAGAACATGGCTGCCGCTGGCGTGAGCCACCGGAGGAAGACTCCTGTCTGCAGGATGAAGGTCAGAGGTCACATGTTACAGCTCAGGCTCAGAGGTTCTGAAGATGTGGACCCGCCTCACCTTCCAGAACCTTCAGGGTCAGCGAAGCGCTGCCTGTCGCCCCCTGCTGGTCCCAGACTGTCAGCCTGAACAGGTACCGCCCCACCTGAAGCCCCGTCACCGTGGCAACAGCCTGAGCCGCATCCCTCAGCTGCAGCCCTGGAGGCCCGCTGCAGAGGACAGACAGCAGAGTCCGGTTCTGACCGTTTAAACCCCGCCCCCTGGGCTGGTCTCACCTAAGCTCCTCCCACAGGAAGCTGCTGATCTGATGATCGTCACTGCTGCCGCTGCCGTCCAACAACAAGCTGCTCACAGGCAGGAAGTACGTCCTGTCAGGACCCACGACCGCAACCGGAGGCTGGTTTGACACGCCCACATCAGCCGAAGAGTCTTTGTTTACCTCTGAAAACAGCCGAAGAGTCTTTGTTTACCTCTGAAAACAGCTAAAGAGTCTTTGTTTACCACTGAAAACAGCTAAAGAGTCTTTGTTTACCACTGAAAACAGCTAAAGAGTCTTTGTTTACCACTGAAAACAGCTAAAGAGTCTTTGTTTACCACTGAAAGCAGCCGAAGAGTCTTTGTTTACTTCTGAAAACAACTAGAGTCTTTGTTTACATCTGAAAACAGCCGAAGAGTCTTTGTTTACC